CATTTTATGTACGCACTAAATCATGTAAGTAAGTCATCTAAACAGATGCTTCGCAGATATTTATCAATTCTACAGTCACAATTAATAACACACATTTCACTTAGTCATAGGCATATAACTTGTCTTACCGTTATTTTACTTCTTCAATCAAGGAATTCTTAGAAAATCAAGGTTCATGGGTTCAAAGCTCACATCTTCTATATCAATCCATGATTTCAAGTAGTAGATGGATTCTATACAAGGTTAGTAATTAGAGCCACATACCTTACCCAAACAGAGGTGTCTCACACGGACTCTAGAGGTAACTCACAATGTAGCACTTAGTTCCGTGTAGCACTTTGTTTCATTTCATAACAACTTATACAGATGGCCATGAGCCTCATAACTTTCACAGAATGGCTTTCAGCCTCATAATTTTCACATATGTATGGACTCAAGAGGTGTCTCACATGGACTCTAGCGGTGGCTCACAATGTAGCACTTAGTTCCAAGTAGCACTTTGTTCCATACCAATAATCATTAGGTCTTACAGACCAAACCATACATGTAATGTCATACCCCGGAAATAAATTCATACATATGCATTATGCTTGAATCATAAATAGAAATCAGAATTCATACTTGCTTATACTTGGCACTGTAATAGTGCTAGCAAATCAATAATAAGTATTTTTTTTTTGTTCGTTCCATAAAGGAATCCCCCAACATTGTGAACTTGTAGCATACTTGAACATGTACATACATAAACTGGTAACATACGTAAACTTGTGACAGACTTAAACTTGTAACATATACTTGAAACATACTTGAACATACTTGAACTTGTAACATACTGGAAACATGCCTGAAACATACTTGAACATCATTCATTAATTCAAACGGAACATATCATAACTAGAGCATTTCTTGTTGTGTCGTGTCATTATCGTACGCTTAACAATGAGAGACTAATTCACATTCTCATGAGGGTCACATAATGATGCTAAACTTTGCACTTATATCGTAGATTCTGGATCACTTCCAATTCATAAGCAACATGACAAATTAACTTCAATTCATCTGGATACATGTAGCTACTCTTATATTTACTCAGAATCCATTCTTCAAGAATGAACATAAATTCTTTTGGGTAAATGATTTACTTTACGTGCTCTCTTATCAATAGCATACACCTTTGTTTAATCATTCTTATATGTTAACATAGTTGCCTTGTCTTGTAATTAACATAGTCCTAATGGTAACTGTTACATCATTCCCATGAGTTGACATAATTAACGTAAGGTTAACAGGACATTCCTGATAATTAGTAACGAAAAGTAAGTACATTTTCGTTAGATTATAGATGACTTTATTGGTTTCACAATTTCACAGTTCGGCCCTTGGCCTGAGGGGTTCACACATTCACAAGTTCCTTTGATGTTTTCATAATTCCATAATGTTTCTCATATAACATACATAACTTCATAAACTCTTTTGATGTTTCCATAATATCACAGTATTTCTCACATGGCATTTATAACATTTATGTCAACATAATTCTTACGACGAATATTTAACATCAATAACGATAAATGGTTAAAGGTACATCAAAGTACTATTACTCACAGTATTCAGGTGCGTGGTCTGCCCTTGAAGCTAACCCTACACAAATCACGTAACCCAAACATAATCCATCATAGTATAACATCATTTAGTTCATTCGCAAATTTTAAACATAATTTCCAAACATTTCCAAATTCCAATTAAACTTGAACACATCTAATTCAATATCTCAATTTCATTACTCTACTTTCAATTTGGACCAATTCATTGGTTTTCATCATTAATCAACCTAGGGTTTCAAGGAAAATGATGATTTTTAGCAAAAATTCAAACTTCTTAAATCACCACTTTTAATTCCAATTTTCCCAATAATTCTACACCTAGGATTCACAATCCATCATTTAAACCCAACAATTAACTCCCAACATCACAAACCATAAAACCCCAAATCTCAAGTTGACACAAAATGCTCAAAACCATAGATTTTGTATTTATATAATCAAAATACCACAAATCCATCCATGAATGCAAGTATTGTAAGAGAACAAGGACCCCTACCTCAAGAACCAAGCAATGAGCAAAGCTTTGAGAAAAATACACCAAAATCTCAAAATTCCAATCGGTTGAAAATGTTCATCTTCTTGCCTTATTCACTTCTTGGTGGAAGATCTTGCTCAAACCTAAGCGAAATGGAGGTATTTGGGGATCAAAACCCTAGGGTTTTCGGACTTAGGGCAAGAGGGATCAAGAGAGGAAAGGAAAACATAAGAAATGATCTCAAAATCCCGTTTTAAGCTGCTGTACCCGCTATTTCCGCTCGAGCGTCCCTATTCCCGCTCGAGCGGACCTGCTCTCAGCACAGATTCTGAAACTTCAAACATGCGTAACTCTCCCATTCGGACTCCGTTTTAGGTCGTTCTTGTGTCCAAATTGAAGCCCCGGAAATAAGCTTTCCAATGGTTCTAACCTCACATCTAAATTCAAAGTGTGGAAAAATAGAAGGGCAAATGAGTGAAGGTTGGTCGTAAACGAATTATTCAAATTAAAGTTTTTGGTCCAATCTTACTTTACCATCATATTATCATCTCAATCAATACCCCAAAATAAGGTAAAAACATTCCAAATACACGAAGAAGAACATCAAAAATGAGTCCACATGCCTCAGAAGCAAACTTAACCAGACGACCCGCTCGAGCGCCCAACCTTGCGCTCGAGCGTGCAGACCAACAAAGCAATCCGCTCGAGCGTATACTCCCCCGCTCGAGCGGGAAATCACAACTCCCAGAATCTCAAGCCGTCTGCACAATTACTGGGAACCCCAAAAGTCCGCTCGAGCGTTAACTCTTCCGCTCGAGCGGAGGGAAAAATTCTGGGTCGTCACACTTCCAGGAGTAAACTCTGCGACGAAGTCTGCCAAAGATTGGGCCTTTACTGCGGTTCTGGGTTGGAACTTGATGTCGTATTGTCCCAACTCTACTGCCCACTTCAAGATTCGCCCAGAAAAGTTTGCCCTCTCAAACAAAGCTTTTAGTGGAAAAGCTGTGAGGACGACTATGGTGTGGGCGTGAAAGTAGTGTGCCAATTTCCTGGAGGCCATCATTAAGGCCAATGCTAATTTTTCCAATGGCAAGTACCTTGTTTCGGCCCCTAGCAATGTCTTGCTGACATAATAGATGGGCAGATGCTGGATTCCTTCTGCACGAACCAACACTGCGCTTATTGCGTGCTGAGAGACTGCTAGGTACAAGAAGAGTTCTTCACCAGGTACTGGGGTAACAAGCAGTGGTGGGGAAGACATATATTCCTTCAAGCTTTCCAGAGCTTGGTCGCATTCTTCATCCCACTCAAACTTAGCCTTTAAGGCATGAAAAAATGGTCGTAATCTATCTGACGACCGGCTTATGAATCGATTGAGCGCAGCTGCCATGCCGGTGAGATGCTGCACTTCTTTCACTGAGTTTGGTCTCTCAAAATCCTGGATTGCTTTGATCTGGGAGGGGTCTGCTTCTATTCCCCGGTTGGTCACAAGGAAGCCCAGGTGCGAGAGAGAAATGAGGATTTGTAGAGGGTGTCTTTTCGGGTCACGACTTTAGTATTTGTGTGTGTGTGAAAGTAAGTGATTAAGGTAAGAGCGTCTCTTAGTTTCTGACGACATTTTAATAAAGAGAAATAATTAGGGATAAAATATTTTCGTCTCAAACTCATATGTTTGTTGCCTAATCAACAAAAATACAAAAACAGCGTTGTGTGGGGATGGAGAATTTATTGGTGATGAAATATTTTCGTCTCCTTTAACTTAACTTTATGAGACGAAAATATATTCGTCGTGCAATCAATCAAAATGCAACACGACACATGGAGAATTTATTAGTGACGAAATATTTTCGTCTCCCAAAACATATCCTTCCAAGACAAAAATATATTTGTCGCCTAATTAATAAAAAGATAAATCGAGCATGAAGAGTTTATTGGTGACGTAATATTTTTGTCTCCCATAACTTATCCTTCCCAGACAAAAAATATATTTGTCACCAAATAAATAAGAAAATGAAACGACATCGTCTTATAAGTTTGGAATTTATTGGTGACGAATTCCTTTTGTCGCAAAAATCTTTAAATTTTGTGACAAAAATGTTCGTCTCCAATGAGTTAAAATAATTGGCGCCAACAAGAAAAAAATTGGCGCCTCTTTTTTTTTTCTGACGAATTTATTTTTTCGTCTCCTATAGTTTTGAGAAGAATTAAAAGAAACAACAAAATTAATATTTGGTCATGTTTGGGATACGTTCTAAAACGA